TCAGGTCAAAGTATTGAAAATCCTTTAAATTATCTAATTATTTGCAATACATAGTATTAAAAACATTTTTGATATCTCAAAAACTAAAATCGAACAATAGTTATATATCTAGGAAAAAATTGTTCAAAATATTGATTTTGGTAATATATCTTAAAATCATTGAAATCGGAAAGATGAATCCTTTTCTATAAAATTACTTTTTTGCTTTAATTTAAATAAATTTATGAAAATGTTTTTTTTCAACTTAAAAAAAAAAGGGGAAAAAATATTAAAAGAGGAATAAATATTCTAATATAAAATAGTAAATTTTTTTTATTCTTTTTTCAGACTCACCAGTAGATCGAGATGACTTGAGTCATCAAGTTCATGCAGACAATTGTCTTTTGAATAATAACGATACCTGTCTTCGTGAAAGTCCAGCTTATATTTGGAGAGATTATTCTGCGATTTTATATCTAAATGATGATTTTCAAGGTGGAGAATTTTTTTTTGCTAAAGATCGCACTATTCGTGCAATGGATAACATAGTTTCGCCACGTTGTGGACGAATGGTGGCATTTTCTGCCGGTGAAGAGAATCTTCATGGTGTTCGTGCCATTTCACGAGGTAGAAGATGTGCTTTGGCATTATGGTTCACTCAAAATGAGATATACTTGGAATATGAAAGGATATTAGCTTTGGCAATTTTAAAAAGAGTTAAACGAATTGGTCCTTTTAAAGAAAAAGACATTCAGATACCTCTAAAGTAAGTAATATTGAAATGTATTGAATGTTTTTAATATCAAATTGATTAGATTTTTAAAATTTAATAAAAATATATTTTTCAGATATGAAGATGTACTCGTTAAATATGTTCATAATGATGAATTATTAAAATATTTTTTAAAAAATTTTCGATAAAAGAAGTTAAAGAAGTTAGTTAAATAGTTGGATGGCAGCTATAATATTTTATTATAATTTTTAGAAGTTTTTCTATGAAAAAATAACAATTTAAAGAATAATATATTTTTATGGCTGATATGTAAATTAGGGACCTGAAAAAAATTTATTATTAATAATTAATGCATTCGTTATCACTGTAAAGAAATACTTTGATTATATTAATTTTACACAATATAAAAAAAATGAAAAAAATGAAAAATATAGTGAGTAAATATAATCATGCATAATTATCTGAATACAAAAAATTTGTTATAAATATCAATAAATAATATTCAATATAAAAGAATTGAGATATGATATCATATACAGAAAATTAATATATTATGGGACATTTTTAAACATCGTTCATTTTAGAGATAAAATAAACATAATTATTCATTAAGTTATAAGCAATTTAAATTTATGTTAGATGAAGCTGAGCGGAGATGGTATATGGAAAATAAAGTCGTCTTTATTTTACATTTCTGAATACTAACTTTTATGTTTACTTTGATTTCTAAAATCAATCTTTCATAAATATCCCATATATATATTAATCTTATATGTATATGTGACGTGTGGTAGCGAAGGTATTAATAAACAATTGATAAATATACATATATCGAACTGTAAATTCAATTTTTCTGTACTTATAACAGAGATCGCATTATTATAACTATTTATCTTATAAGTTATAATTAAACAATTAATTTTTTTAAAATTAACTGCTTCAAACAAATTTGTTTATATAAATTTACTGTAGATTATTTTTATATTATATATATTATATAAAATATATAAAATATGTGTATTTTTTTACTAGGAATAGTAGAATTTGCAAGAAATTTGTACAAAGTGTTTCATACTGATTGTGATGAAATCAACACGCAATACTTAATGCAGTCCTCCTGGTGGTATATTTTATTTTTATACATTTTGTATTGTTTTTTTCCACCCATATCACTTGATTTTCTTTGCTTTTTTCTTATTTTAAGCGTACAAAGTTTCATTTATCTTTTCTATCGAACTTCTTCGAAATATAATTGTCTCTATTAATCATATTAGACCGGTAACTTATACATTACAAATATACACATATTATGTATACAGGATGTTCGTAGTCGCGGCAACTATTTATTTATTTATATATAAAATATCCTAATCTTTATTAGAACATAGACATTACATGTCAACAGACTTACATAATCACTCTATGTATCGTGTAATATCGTATTAATTCTTCATATTTATACTATATATAAGAGTTTCTTATGTATATGCAATTGCATTGCAATTCTTTTTTTTTTTAACGCTTTTCTCGTTCTTTTTTATTCTTTTTCATACTTCCTTTCTCTCATACATGACTTTAAGTCCTGTACACACGACTGCTTTTATTTTTTTAAATATATCGCATCAATTCCGTTATGAAAACGGATAAAAAATATGCGTATATATACTGAAAATGTATTGTGTATTTATATATTCGTGTGTGCACGCATATGTAACGTATACGAAATTCTGTTTGTTAGAATCTGTTCTGTGATATATTTGTATTTGTCATCGTTATTACAATAATACGTAAAAAGCGAATCGCATAAAATCTAATCATACGTTTTATCTCTGCGTAATTATATGCATAGGAATTGAAAAAACGTATACTCCAGCGCAATGATATTAAAAGATGTTTAAAAATAGTGATTGAACCATCTTTCATTTAAGATCAGTTCTTTGTTCGAGAATTCAGTCAGGAAGAAAGTGAACGCGATCATAATTAATATTAATTATATTTTGTTATAAATATTTATTACGAAATTATAGTGACATCTAGGTATCACAGAAGAGCTCAGTCAATTTTTCATAGGAACCACTCCATAATCATATTCATATGCTCTTTTTTTTTCATTTATTCTTTTTTTTCATTTTATTTGATTTTTGTTAACATTTTCATGTATAATCATATACCAAAGATAGATATTTTATTTTTTAAATTATCAACATATTTAATTAAAAATATTTTTTAATTGCGCATTAAAAATAAGATCAATATAATAATTTAAGAAAAAAAAATATTTACATTCTTATTCATTAAAAATAAACAATATTAAATGGAGTGGTCGCCAAATTTATCGTCTTATTTAGATGGTTTTTTGTATTGCTCTTCGTAAACCTTCATTTTGTTTTCTTATATGAGTATATTATAATAATAATAATAATAATAATAATAATAATAATAATAATAATAATAATCGCTATTATAATAATAAAATAATGTGTAAATTCATAAAATAGACATGGAGCATCGCGAATAAACGCTGAATGATCTTCTTAAAATGTAAAATCATTTTATACTTTTAAATGAATGATTACTATAAAATATTTGTTGTGCTTATCATTTGGTAATCAAACACAACATTTCGCATTTTTTCTACAAATTATTTCATAGTTTAAAGCATAATGCACTTTTAGAGCCAGGTAACAAATACCTTGCAACAAGTATCATTGCAACTCGTGTATAGATCAGGATTGAACAATTAAATCTTTGAGTATATTAATTAAACTTATGATTTTTTCATAATAAATTTCATATAAATTTAATATTAAAAAAAATTAATAAAAGGATAATATGTCTATCATAAAATATAATATTTTTGTTAAAATATCAGTAGAGTTTAAAAAGGAAATTAAATATTAAAATTTTTTTAAAATATATCTTTAAAAAAAGAAAAAACTATTTTAATAAAAAAAATTAAATCGCAAATTGAACTATGCACAAAGATGCATGATTTTAATTTTTTAACTTGTTGCTGATATCTAAATTTGCACAAAAGGAAGCATCGTGTGTGCTGGACTATATAATATTCGAGTTCGATTTTTCAGACTTATTCTTAAACTTATTACTTATTTTTTTTATATATACATGTACATATACACACAAGATTATGTATGCATATGTAATTGTTAAAAGAAATGGCTTGTCTCTAATAACGATCGATTTACTTCGTGAATGTATTGCAATACAAAAAATATAACAGAAAAAAAAAAAATCAAAAAATGTAGTTAATTAAGCGCTGAAAAGATATGTTAACATTTTGAAGTTAATAACATTTGAAAATTTTAAAATAATAAATTTATAAAATCTTCAAAACATATAAAAAAAAAATACTAAATTATTTTTATGATCATGAAAATGAAAATAATTATCGTACAATTTATGAAAAAAATTTTCAAATTTTTCGAAAATTTCATAAAATCTAGAAAATTAATCAAGAATCATGCAATTTGTTTAAAAATCATTCTCATTTATGTTATAAATTATAATTTTCATTATTATATATTTCGATAAAATATTTTTTTTCTTTTATTAATCATGAATAATTACCACCAATCTATCGAAAATTTTGTTCTTAACATCCTTGCTGTTTTCTCTTTACAGGAATAAAATAAAATTACGTTATCATTTTTCTTACTAAAAATAATCTATATAAGAATTGATACATAATAACAATAGAATTCAATGAACAATTCAATTGACAAAAATGAATATAACTTCATTTTGTGAAATATTAATTAAAAGACTTCTTTTATGTATGTATAATATAAATAACCAATACTTTCAAAAATTTCATATGAAAAACAAATTGAAATACATAATACAATTGTATTATAAATTTCACAAAACAAGTATTAAATTATAAATGCTAATGTACAGTCACGAAGTTAATTGGCCTTACAAATTTTTTTCTTTAAAAATTCTTAACAATACAATAGCAATATATATAACTATATTAAAATTAACGCAAAATATAACAATAGATTAAGAACATTGTACTGTTTGATGATATTTTTTGGAGCTTTTTTCATGCTGTTACGTAAGTTATAATGTAAAAAAAGTCATAACGTACTTTGATTATATATATATGTGTATGTATGTACATATATAAATATATATATATATATACATACATATAAGTATACATATGTACATATATAGATACATACATACATACATATATATATATATACATATATATATGTATGCATATATAAACAATAATATGGCGAACATATCGTGGTGAAAAATATGCTGGACACCAAAGGCTTTTGCGAAAAAGAATTACTTACTTCTTGATGTTTTAAACGCTTTCTGCAGTCATTATCATCGTCGTCATAATTACATCTCGTTTATGCATCACGTACAAACTTTACTAAAATAGTACAATCTAATCGAGAATATATTAGAAAAATTGAAAAATATACAAGTTATAAAACACATAAAACGCCATTCATCAGGTAGCGAGTGACTTACGAAGTCCAACTATGTTTTCCATTATGTTTCTGTCCAAGTATTTTTTTCGCCTAAGATTATACATCATATCATACTTATCTCTTTATGAAGATATGAATTTATATGATCTTCATTTCATTTTCGTATTTAAGATTTTTCCTTTTGTTTTTCTTTTTTTTGTGTTTTGATTTATAAAGCGAATAAACTTTACACTTTGCTACATTTAAATTACGCAGCATCACGGTTTCTGTACAAATTATTCGTCTATTTTATAATCTTATTATTGTATCGCACACATTCTTTGGTATCCAACAGGCTTTCCCACGCTGATTTCGAGTTTGAACAATAATCGTAGTATGGGCAGTGAATGAACAAGCAAGTACCAATATTAAATGGGCAGACTCTCCCATTGAGGCGCCCATTCTGGAAGTCGTCAATCCACATTCGATGGTGGAGCAGCGTATCTACTTCGTGAATCAGAATCTCCATCACAAATATACTTTCCTGAAAATGTTAATTATATTAACATAAATATATTATTATTTTCTTATAAAAAGACAAAAGAAAGAAAGAAAGAAAGAAAACAAAAACTAAAAATAGATAAGACTATAAATAGATAAAAATACTTACCAGATACGAATCTACGTTTTACTAAACTTAATCTATATCCCGGGCCTAAAAGTTCAAACTCAACTCCAGATAATGTGGTCCCTTCGCAATTAAACTGTGTAAATATAGTTCCTTGATTTCCTGGCCCATGTCCTAATTCCACTCGTGCTTTCAAAGAACCTACGCCATTACCTTCGCTATGCTGTGATAATTCTGTGAACTTCCACAATATCCGATTTGTTCTGATAACCATTGTGCCTGAGGTTTACTGTTTAATGATTTAAAACCTCCATCTATAGGTGCAGCCACATGGAGATTTAATAATGGACTTGGAGAAGCCATAGCGCGACTATTATATTTATAATCAATCTAAGGCAAGCATGAGTTATTCATTTAATAAAATTAAATTAAAATTATAATATATATACATTACATGTATATTTATATACTATACATTTATGTGTCTAATAAAATTATATAATATATCAAGATGAAATACCTTAAGGTCTGTATGAGTCGTTTCACATTTCCAATAGGCAACTAACTGGAAAGGACACGAACCTGCGCCTTCCTTGCATTTGATTTGATACTTGAGTATATCAACATTAAAATATGAAGCTGAAGGATTTTGTTCAGCCTGTTTGCGTAACAATGTAGTTAAGGCACTCATGTTGAATTCAAAAATTGTACTGTCAACAGTTGTCTGTGTGGCATCCCTGTATTAATATTTAAATATCTTCGAATGACTTGAATAGTAATAATAATGAACTAATTCTAATAACTTACATGCTAACGAGTTGATTATTAGGGAACAATTTTTCCAATCTATTACTGTTTCGCACGCGAAACGTTAGTTTTGCAGGATTAGGATTATTCGCCAACACAGTGACAATACCGGCAGGAAATGATAACATCATATCTCCACTGAGTTTCACCTGACATCGTGTTTCATCAGTACCTCTAAAGTAAGAGTGTACTATTTCATGGAAGGCGACTGCTAAAGGAATAGTATCTGCAAGTCCTATTGTGAGTGGCGATGGACCTCTGGAAGAGCCAACTCCAACACCGGCTGTACGAAACTCTAAACTAGCTACGCTATCAGCTCTGGATATAGTCGCTGGTGAATTTCTACCTCTTGGTGAAGGACCTTCTCCTCTTCGGGATGGCGGTCTGGGAATGATAATAGATCCTGTCGGAGTAGAAGAAGCCGATTGTTTTGGAGGTAAAGCCGGAGTAATGTCTCCTACTTCCGAAAATAAATCTCCATCTATAGAGAAGAAAATAAAATCTTATAAATTCCTAAATTTTTTTATATAATTTAAATTAAAATATATTCAAATAGCAATAATTTTTTTCATAAAACATAGAAAACATTCCGAAGCTGAAAACGGCAATTTCGCAAACTCACCAGGGAATCGTGGATGAGGATGCGTAGGTGGTGCAGATTGTGGCGGCTGTAGTTGAGGCGTCGGTGACAAAGACAGCGGCGGAGGACTTTGCAATGGCGCGTATGGATGACTACCAGTCGGCGTTGAGGCGCTCGATGGTGTACTGCTAGGATTGAACAAGTTTAGGCCAAGTAAATCCGAGCTTGGCTTACCTCCTAATTGCTGTGACACTGACTGAGACCTTTTCATATGATGATCTGAGTCGGTATTTGAGCCTCTGCGTCCCTATTATATAAATAATATTATTGCAAAACAAATCTTAAAAAAAAAAATTGAAAAAATGAAAAAAAACATACCGTTGGTGCAGGCGATAAAGATAAATTTTCCACCGTTGCTCTAAGCTCGTCTACACTTGCGCTCATAGGTGCTCCGCCATTGCTAAGTGGTTTTATTTCTACTCGAATTTTTCGTTCTCTGTCATCCTCGGAATCGGTATCTGAACTGGAATAAAATCCTTTCTCATTCTCCCATGGTTCTGCTTTTGGTCTAATACAGAAACCATCTTCATCTACCTCCGGTGTTGGTGTTTCAGATTTCCTACTGTCATCCTTATCCTCCCTATTATATAGAATTAAAATAATTCAGTGATATATACCTCTAAAAGTTCCAGCAGGCCCAGTGCATCACGTATGCATAATATTTCTTTTCTCTCTCTTTTTATGTGTCGACAAATAAATTATTAAAAATTATACATTATTTTTTTTTATTTTATAACATCATTGTGCTCTAAATATATTAACATGTCAACAGAAATTTGAAAAAGAAAATCAAAAAGAAAAAAATGTAGACTAATTCTATGATCAAACTTCTGCTGCATAAAAAATTGATTTGTTTATTAGTCATTTTCTCGTTTGTTCCAACGATAAATTTTTAGCTCGATCATGGAATCAATCTTTGGTGCACTAGATCTGCTGAATGCGCATATACTGACAGATCAGACTTTTCTTCTTTGTTGCTGCTCGTTTCCACAATATCCTTCTTCTTTTTTGCCTTCTTTTCTTTTCTCTTTTCTCTTCTGCTGCGAAGAAACCCTGTTGGTCGTGGACATACAATATATAGAAAACAAAGCATTTTTTCGTAGTAAATTTAAATATTCAATTTCAAAGGTACTTATATAATTACATGTGATATGATATGATCTATAATTAATTTCTAATTCACTATGCTAATACTGAAAATGGATAAAAATTATTCTATGTTATATCACATATAAAAATTATGGAAAATTTTTTCTTTCGATAAATAAAAAATAAATAAATGAATAAATAAATATTTTCTTAATTATTACTAAATATTATATTTACATAAAATGAATTTAATTATATACGAGAAGAATTTTTATCAAATAATCTTCTTATTGATTATTTTAATTAAAATGATATTGTTCTGATTAACAAAGAATAAAAGAAAGTAACTATAAACTAAAACTAAGAAGCAGAAAGATACTACATTTGCGATGTCAAAAAAGTTATATATCTTCGATCAAGAAATTAATATAAAATCTGCAATTAAACAACTGATAGAAATCAATTTACTTTCCAAGTGTTTAAGGCATAGCGCAACGTGATTAAATATTTATGGATCAAACAAAATAAAAATCACCAAGTCAAATCAATAAATAGCAGATGCACTGTTTATGAGCTTTCTTTTTATGATATTGTTTTCATTTGCTGATATAAATTTCTGTATCAATTATAACTATTTATTATTTTTTTTACAAACGAATATTCAATCATTTATGATTTATTGCAGATTAAATGCATTTACTTTTTAATTTTAATTTTTTTTTAATCTTCTAATTTTTATTTTTTATAAAAATATTTTTGAAAAATATGAACAGAAAAACATATCAGCATATTCTAAAATTAATAATAAAATTTTAATGCCTGCGTAAATAAGAAAAAAACGATAGACAAGGGATACAGAAGATAGCAAAAAAGTATAGCACATTACATCAGCAGAGGCATAAGAAAACCCATAATACCATCACCGTCATATCCTATAGATCTGCAGAAATCCAATCTCTTATTTTAAATTGTTTTTCTAACAATTATATACATACATATATATATATATCATATATATATCATACGATATTACTGTTAGGATATGATTTCTTAGAATAAAGTTGCGCAATTTTTTTCGTAAGTGCATCTCTTATGTACTTTTCTAACAATAAGTATTAATACATGTTCTGCAAGCAAGACTATTAATTATCGACATGCAGAATTATGAATAATAAGAACATAAAAATAAAATTTAATAATTTGATATAATAATTTTAAATCTTTTAAAAATTAATATTATTAAATTTAGCATTACAAACATTTATTAAATTAAGGAAAATAAAAAAATATATAAAAAAGGAAAAACGTATTGTAATACACAAAAGTAGTTAAATAGTTAAAATAAATAGATTTAATAATAATACATATATACTAATAAATAAAAAAGAATTGCTTGCAGAATCACATTACGCTATATCATGAAAGATATCTGCACTTGGAAAATAAATACTAATTACAAGTGAGCCATGCAGTAACAGACTCATAAGAATGGCTCACCTGAGGCCCCGTCAGTAGCCAACCCCACATTTGTATTTCAACTTTATCCAAATCCAACTCCCTTTATTTAATTAATTCTATGAGAATATATGTTTATTATAAAACAAGAAAGTTTCAAAAATTAATTTATGATTAATCACTATATTACATATTTGTATTTGTTCGAAGATTAAAATCGAAATATTATTCATAGTTTTTACTAAAAGAAAACAAAAAATACAGTCTACTAATGTATATATATATATATATATAACAATACAAAAAACGCTACTATTGTATAAATTATATTATACGTAGCTTAAATTTTAGAAACTTTCCAAAATGCAATTCTTCTTAATTTTTAAATTAAATCAATAATGTTTTTTTTTGTATAGAATAGACATAACAAATCGCAAATATATGTAAAAATTTAAGAATGAGTTGTGTTGATAAAAGAATCCCTTGATAAATTTACATAAAAGATTGTTAGAAAAACAATTTATGTAAGTAACATTTTATAGAAAAATATGTTAAATTATTTAGTTAGATTATAAATTCTAAAACTAGAGCCTATTGTCTAAGCAAGCTTATCCCAGTATCAAACAAAAACGAAAAAATATTTTTTCCTTCTAATATAGAATGTGTCTATAAATATAAATCTTTTTAAAACTAATTGAAAAATATTTTAAATGTGCTTCCAAAGCCAATATTAAATAAGTATTTTCCTAATTATCTGTGAATTAACTATAATTAATCAGTCATTTTATGATATGATTCTATACAAATAATATTAATTTAATGTGCTTAAACAATGTTAGTATACGTACATTGCTGATCTAAAAGAGTGCAGAGTGGAGGAACCATAATACGCGTTACCACTGTAAGTCACCAGAGATTTTATTTAACCATATATCCTGTATGACCACAAAAAATATTATATGGAAAGAACTGTAGTATCAAAGCTATTAGCAAATACCATTAGATAAAGAGCAATCAATAAAGCAAGATAAAGATAAAGGTGTGTGAAAGGAGTAACTTCTTAAAGGTGGTCATTTAAAATTACACATAAATGTTTTTTTAATTTTTTTAATTTGAATAGAAGGATCATTATTATTTGATTGTATTAGATATATTAATATGTATTATTTAATTAGATAAAGGAAATCAATATATTTTCATCATAATTAATATTTAGATAGAGTTAGAATTATAAAAAAATTGATCAAAAATTTTCAAAATTAGATATTTATAATGTTTGTAAAAAGACCACCAATTAGATACTATTACTAGTAATATAAACTTTAATATGATTTCATTGAAAATTAACAGAAATGTATTAATTTTAATAAATATCAAAATTTTTTGTATAGTTTTTATAAATTTTTATATAATTTTTTTTATATAGTATTTTAAAAACTATTATAGAAAGCTTTTACTAATTAATTTTACTAATGATATACCCCCACCTTAAACATTGCAAACTAACTACTAAAGAAAAGCAACATTTTCAAATAAATTTTTTGTTTATAGGTATGTGTATATGATAGTACCATATAACCAATCTAATAATTACTTTGAAATATGTGTAATGGATATGGTAAGGGTACAGGTAATGACAATGTAAGCAGTTACATTTAGATCCTCTGAGAGGGTTCCTGGAGATGCTGGGAGGTGGAACAGCAGGAGGCAGGTTGTTCCCCTGAGGAGTTGCAGGTGCCGAACCAGACCCTGCTTGCTTCTGTTTGTCTGAAACAACACTCATTGCTTATATCTTTCAATTATCTGTGACTCCAATGGCCCTTTTTTCTTCATCTTGCTATTTTCATACTTATATCTATTAAAATTTGTTTATAGTTTTGCACTTTCAGTGGCATAAATAGCACTCCAGAGGGATATTAATCATAAATATAACATTTTATCATTACATGTAAAGTTTAATAATTATATAATGAAAATTATTAATAAATAAAATGGAAATAAATGTTTATTACATTTTTTTCATAAATTTAATATTTATAATATAAAAAAAAAGAAAGAAAAAAAAAATATTTTTAAACCCCCTGGAATACACAATAACTTTTAATGTCATCCTCCACCTATTGTTAGATTATAACGCACAAGCATTGTAACACAACCACAAAAGCATAAGTCAATAAAATTGTTTCGCATATGCCTAAATCAACAAAATTTGTGATTAAGTGCTAAAAAATAAATTGAATAAGTGTATGTATATGAATAAAACGATATTGATGAAATAAATAAAACTGTTCAACACATCTACCAAGACATAATGAATTAAAAAATTAAATTTTAAATTTTAAAATAGCTTTAACAATCTTTAACAATTTTATTAATTTCATATTTTTTATATTTGATTTTATTAATATTTAATCAATATTTTTTATATTCAATTTTAATCAATTTACACTAAAAATATGTAATATTAGTAAAAATTACATTATATCAAGGTAGATAAAAACTATTGCAATTAAAAAAGAATAAGATCTTGTAAGTTCTATTCAACATTAAAAACCTACCCTGGGAGTTGGACATGAACAGGTTGAGTAGCGAGGTAGTACGGCGGGAAGCCTTGGTGGCTTGTACATGTGAGAGTTCTCTATCCCTTTCATTCAGTCTTTCATTTTCTTTTTCTTGTACCGTCCCCTTTTCCTCATCCACCTGATAACCCTCCCCTTTTAATACCCGATCGTTTTTTGAACTGTGAGTGTTACCCGCAACGCCTGTTTCTCCATTTGCTCCTTTTGATGTTTCCTTAGATGTTTCAATATTGCTTTCCAATTGAGAATGACTGGTCATTTCTCCTAAACTTGTCATGATCTCTTCATATTCAAATGTACCTAATTTATAAAAAAATTATATAATATAAAATATTAAATACTTATATTATAATATAAAAATTTTTACCTGGTTTTTCAAAACCTGTGGATTTACTTTGTACAAATTGTTCTAGAAGTTTGTCCACTGTCATGTCCAAACATTGTCGTTTAAAATCTATATGAACTTGACCAACTTGTTCATGATTTGATTGTAAAACATCTGCATAGATATTTAAAAATTCCTTCATATGTTTTAAGTGTGTCTCTTCAACATCTTGGAATCGCTTAATAAGAAACAAATAAATTCATTAATATTATGATAATTTTTTCAAAAAATATCATATAAAATTGTTAACAAGATAAATACCCTGCATGCTTGAGTCATTTTGGTTTGAAAATCATTCCGTATAATCATATATTTATCAACCAAAGTTTTATAATCATCCTGGGCTTTCTTAAACTTAATTTCTGCTTTTTCTAATTCTTTTTGACTGGCATTGTCTTTCTTTAATTTTTCCAATTCCAAACTCTTTTGTGTACGCATATCTTTTGCTTTATGTAAAGTTACAGTGATACTCTGTATATTCTGTACAATTTCCAAGGTAGATGATTCTTCTTCTTTTACCTACATATTTTTTGTTTTATATTTCTTAATATTATTATTCTTACTTTTTTTTCAAATATAATCAAGTATAGAAATCAATTACAAAGTAACATGTTAATTAATTAAGTGAAATAATTACTTATCAGTCTGATTTGGTAAATATTATCTTATATTTTTGCATATACTACTGTCTGAGAGAACTTAATGACCTGACTATGGGCGGATACTGATAAGTTATAATATATGTATGTATATACAAAATGATTCATACTATAATATGATAAACAGTTGCAAAAAAAAATGCAACATATAAAAAATATATTTATATTGTTGGGATACAAAAAAGTTTTATTAAAATAAATGAGATTTTATTTTTAAAATTTTCTATATACCAATATATTTTATATTAATTTATTAAATATATTTAAAAACATGCTCTATACAATTATTTTAATTTTGGCTTATTTCTAAGTACAAAAACATATGAAAGTATGAAGAAAAATTACATACAGCCTTATGTTTCTTATGCAGTTCATCTGTATATTTTGATACATCTTTTATTAGTTCAGTGACCCTTTGGGCCATTTGCAAATGTAAGCCAGCAAGTTTTTCTGCTGCGCCTCTTAAGGCAGCCCAAACAGGTGCAAATGTTCCTTGTATACTACTGCTACTGCCAGCTTGTTTTGCAAGTTTACTTAGAACCTTATAATTATTTTCTTCTATGGTTGATCGTTCTTTTAGAAACTCGGCCAACTCCTTACTTGCAATTGCACCATGCTTCATGTTATGATATAACACGTCAAATCCATTATTCTTTTCGCCCTTAAATTATACAAAAAATCTTTTTTGTCTAAATTCTTTTTATTTTTTTATAATATATTCACAATATTATTATACATATATATATTTTATATATATTTATTTTCTATATTCTATTGTTTTGTATATATTATATTAAAATTATAATATTAAGAATTAAGTATTATTTGTTGATGATTTAAGATTTTATCTAAGATTTTTGTATTAAGGAATATAAAATTTTGATTATAATTAAAAATATATCTAAAAAAGATACTAAAGTTATATTTAAAACCACTTAGGCATTTAACACTTGAACCCTGATCACTATAAACTCACATAGAGTAAGACTCTTGAGTAACATCGACACAATAAGCTGTGATTATATATTATTACTCTTATCATCCTATTGTATATATTGTCACTTATAACATGGATTAATTTTTTGTGAATTTTATTGGTAATATTTTATTAGAACAATAATATTTTTTAGTTAAATTGAAAAATTTTCTTGAAATAAAATATATTCTTATATTGTTTTTAATTATTTTAATATAAGATTTTAATAAAAAAAGATAAAACAAAGAAAACAAAATTGATAAAAATTTTTTATTTTATAAATTCTTCAATGCTATAATAAAATATTCTATTTATTCAATATAAACTTAATTATATATTGTTCAAATTATTAAAATAAATTATATCCTGCATATAATAATCTTTAACAGACAAAATTTTAAAGGAAATGAAAAGAAATGCTACTATCATATCTTATCTATACCATAAAAAAGTCGGACATCAGGAAGACAATGTCACATTTTTCAAAAAAATTTATGAATGGAACTGAAATCTTTAAAATTATATTAGTAGATTTAAATCTTTCTATGTGGTAAATTTTTTAAATTATAAAAAAAATTTGAAAATTTCAGTAACTTGTTTACAAATAAAATTTCTCATTTAAGGAACATCAATATCTTAATTATATTTTTAAAAAAAATTATAAAAAAATGTAAAAAATATAAATTGAAATACATAAAATAATAAAATAGAGAAACATAAATCAAATAAAATTAATAATATAATTAAAGATAAAATTTTAAATTAAAATATATTGAAACGAAGCTAAAATTTTCGATTCTTTTCGTTTTTATAAACATGTATAAAAAACGCAGTATATATATATATATATACATATAAACATATATATATATATATATATATATATATATATATATATATA